CGTTATCTGAGTTAATGTAAACATAAGATGAGACAGACACGTCCTGCACTTTAGAGTCCAGTATAGAGTAAGAGATTTTGGCGTTTTCACCAAAATCCAGGTCAGATGCTGATACTGAGTACAGTATAGACCCTGGTACCCCGTTCTCTTTTAAATATACATTATAGGAGGGCTGAGTGAAGACAGGAGGGTTGTCATTCACATCAGCGATGCTGACAGGTATATTTTTTTTACTAGAGAGAGGAGGAGAGCCTGAATCAGTGGCTGTTATCTCAATATTATACTCTGAGAAACTCTCTCGGTCTAAAGCACCACTGGTAACCAGTGCGTAATTATTAGAGAACGAAGGTTTCAGACTAAAGGGAAAGCGTTTGGTGAGTTGTAACGTTACTTTACCGTTGTCACCGGAGTCAACATCTCGCGCACTGATCAAAGCAACTACGGTACCGCTTGGTGCGTCTTCGCGTACTGGTTTTGGCTCAGAAGTGAAAACAATTTCTGGAGCGTTATCATTGAAGTCCATAATATCAACCTGCACGCGACAGTGGCCCTCCATTTCAGGGCTGCCTTTATCTTTTGCAATGACATCAATGTCGTATGACTTGGTAGTTTCATAGTCTAATTCCCCTTTTAGAGTGATTTCACCTGTTATGGGGTTAATATCGAAGACTGACAACAAAGATTCCGGTGTCCGAGACCCGAATGAGAATTCAATTTCACCATTTAAACCTTCATCTGCATCTGTTGCTTTGGGTTTTATAATAACAGATCCCTTTATGCTTTTTTCACCCAGGGTTACTTTGTAAATATTTTTCTCAAACACAGGGAAGTTATCATTTGTATCAAGCACATTTATGGTTATTTGTGAGGTTCCAGATCTTACTGGATTTCCCCCGTCTAATGCTGTTAGTAATATTTTGTGAACAGCTTTTTTCTCACGATCTAGAGGCTTTTCTAAAACTAGTTCCGGAACGGTCTTACCACCCTCTATTTCTTTTATTTTAAGGGAACAACACTCATTTTTACTAAGAGTATATGATTTGAGTGAATTGCTTCCAACGTCGGGGTCCGTTGCGCTCTCTAAAAGAAAGCGGGTGCCCACTAATGCTAATTCAGCAATTTTTAAAGATATTTCAGTTGAAAGGAAACTTGGAGAATTGTCATTTATATCTCTTATTTCAACCTCAATTCGGTGTAACTGTAGCGGGTCCTCAATTACTACTTGCAGAGGTAGAACACAGCTGGCGCTTTGTCCGCATAAAGCCTCTCTGTCTATTCTGTCATTCACCACCAGCTCGCCCTTCCCCGCATCCACACGGAAATACTGCTCACCAGCCTCAGAGGCGACACGCAATTTACGGTCAAAAATGTCAGATAGTCCCAAACCCAGATCTTTGGCTAGATTTCCAACCACAGAGCCCTGTTTTAGTTCCTCCGGGATGCTGTAACGAGTCTGTCCGTTTATTGTACTCCACAAGAGAAAGAAATGATGCCACCAGAGAGCAAGCCATCTCCAGTCTCGGTATCCCATTCTCTTTGTCATCCCCGATTCAGTAAAATACATCATTTCCAATCCACAAGAACAGAGGACATAAAGTCAAAATCCATATTCCGAGAGCGTGACATATTCCGTTAAAAAGATGTCTGTCCATCGTCAAAGATAAAATTAAGATATAACCTAAATACTCATAGTATACGAACCATTTACCGACTCTTCTCCCACTCTGAGCCTTGTGGTTTTGGTGCTGAAGCTGCATGGGGGAGGGAGTAGATCTCTTTGTACAGTTATGAATGCTATTGGTGCACAGCATCCATCTCTCACATCCAATGGGAGGAAACCTGAGCAGCATCGTTAAAGACACACAAACCCTTTGCGCTGTCATTAAGGAGCTAGTGAACCGCCATAAGGAGTAGCCGGTTAACATTCCCATGGCTTATAACAGTTTAAAACAAATAAATGTATCGAAATCTACATTTGTATGTGAAAAATATATTTACTGTTTACACTGATTTCACTATAAGACCAAATTTATTTTCCTTGGTTTGGATTTCTAATGCCAAAATTGCCTTCATTCCCGTTTACCTAAATCAGTAAGTACAGAATATGTAATAAGTTAAAGATGTTATTAAGTGTGTTAGTTCAGTGTTCATGTATTTTCATTTTTACCCCACTGAGTAAAGGCCATCAACAACAATCCTCTTACTGTGCCCTCTGTACTCCTCATGGGTCAGCGTCGCTGTCCATCGATGTGGTGCTGAAACGCACAGCTCGAAAAGCTATTTTACCACCAACACACTCTTCAGGTCAAATGAAAACAGCCACAAAAGTTGTCGAAGTTAACTAGAGATAACTAGTTAACTTTGAATTTGGATATAAAGTTAGTATTTTCATTTAAAATATATCGACTAACATTGTAATAATTACCCCACATATTGCAGGATCTGATAAACTGCCATGTTATAATTATTTCTCACAATGAAAGGAAATGTTGTGCTCTCTTTGTGGTTATTCTGGTTTAAGTGGTAGTCTTACAAAACTGGTTTGTTCTCTCTGCTCACCTGCTGGCTCTCAAAGGTCCAGGTGCTGTCGGGTAAAGACGCATCCAGGACACTGATCACCTCCTTAAAGTCAGTGGTGCTGCTGGGTTTAATCAAAGTGAAATCACTGTACTCTGACATCGGAGACATACAGGACCTGAAGGACTGACTCTGAGACAACATGTCTCCTCCCAGGACCTCCACGTACTTTATAGGTCCGTCAGTATTGAGTTGTATCTGCAGGTTTCTGTTGGGGTTCTTGTAATCATCACAGTCGCTCCGTCTCGTGCAGCAACTACCGCTGCTTCTGCTGTTCCTGATGCATTTAACCGCTAAGATGAGAAAAGTCAGCAGAGACAGCACGGACACCGAGGCCAGAGAGAGAATCAGATAAAGGGTGATTCTCCCAGTTTTCTTGCTGGGCTCGGCCGCTTTCTGTCGGAGGTCTAAGATGGGCTCATGGAGGCCGTCCTCCAGCAGGATGGACACCGTGACGGTGGAGGACTGGACCGGTTCCCCGTCGTCCTTGATCTCTATAAGCAGCCTCTGAGAGGAGTCGTCCTGCTCGGACGCAGCGCGTTTAGTCCTCACCTCCCCTGTGTACAGATTGACAGTGAACAGAGAGGCGTCTGTGGCCTCCGCCAGTCTGTAGGAGATCCAGGCGTTATGGCCCGAGTCAGCGTCCACAGCCGTCACCTTTGTGACCAGGTGACCCGCTTTAGCGGAGCGGGGCATCCTCTGGTGAGAGAGGGAGCCCAGGGCAGCGGAGGAGGGGTAAATAACAGCGGGGGCATTGTCGTTCTGGTCCAGGATAAAAACATGGACGGTGGCGTTGCTGCTGAGAGACGGAGAGCCCTGGTCCTTTGCCTGAACCTGAATCTGAAACACCTTCAGTTTCTCATAGTCAAACGAGTGCATGCTGTAGATGCTGCCGTTATCTGAGTTAATGTAAACATAAGATGAGACAGACACGTCCTGCACTTTAGAGTCCAGTATAGAGTAAGAGATTTTGGCGTTTTCACCAAAATCCAGGTCAGATGCTGATACTGAGTACAGTATAGACCCTGGTACCCCGTTCTCTTTTAAATATACATTATAGGAGGGCTGAGTGAAGACAGGAGGGTTGTCATTCACATCAGCGATGCTGACATTTATAGTCTTCTTACTGGACAGAGGAGGAGAGCCTGAATCAGTAGCTGTTATCTCAATACTATACTGTGAGAAACGTTCTCTGTCTAGACCACCTTTTGTAACCAGCGCATAGTTATTAGAAAATGAAGGCTTGAGAGTTAAAGGGGAATCTTTGGTAAGTTGCAATGTCACTTTTCCATTATCACTGGAGTCAAGGTCCCGCGCAGTGAGCAAAGCCACTACTGTGCCACTGGGTGCGTCCTCGGGAACGTGGCTCGGTTTTGAAGTTAGAACAATTTCAGGAGCGTTATCATTTATGTCTATTACCTCCACTTGCACACGGCAATGACCTTCCATTTCAGGAATTCCTTTATCTTTTGCGGTAATATCTATTTCATGTGTTGCAACGGTTTCATAATCTAATTGCCCTTTAAGGAAAACTTCTCCTGTTGCCGAGTTTATCTGAAAAATAGACAACAATACATCTGGTGTATGCTCAGCAAATGAGTATTCAATTTCTCCATTAACACCCTCGTCTGCGTCTGTTGCTTCTACCTTTACTAGCATGAAACCACTTTGACTATCTTCAGGCAAAGTTATTTTATATAATGCATTTTTGAAAACTGGAACATTGTCGTTGTTGTCTAAGACGGTGACTGTAATCTTTGATGTTCCAGTTTTGACAGGATTTCCCCCATCTAACGCAGTCAACAGTAACTGATGGACATTTTGTTTTTCTCTATCAAGCGGTTTCTCTAAAACAAGCTCTGGCACTTTCCTTCCATTAGCCAACTCTTTAATTTTCAAACTAAAACATTCATCTTTGCTTAGACTGTACGACTTTAGGGAGTTACTACCCACGTCGAGATCCTGTGCGGTCTCCAAAGGGTAACGCGCACCGACCGCTGTCAGCTCCGCAATTTTTAAATTTCTTTCTTTGCTGAGAAAACTAGGGGAATTGTCATTGACGTCTCTTATTTCTACCTCTATTCGATAAAGATGTAGCGGGTCTTCAATTACAACCTGCAGAGGTAGAACACAGCTGGCGCTTTGTCCGCATAAAGCCTCTCTGTCTATTCTGTCATTCACCACCAGCTCGCCCTTCCCCGCATCCACACTGAAATACTGCTCACCAGCCTCAGAGGCGACACGCAGCTTACGGTCAAAAATGTCAGATAGTCCCAAACCCAGATCTTTGGCTAGATTTCCAACCACAGAGCCCTGTTTTAGTTCCTCTGGTATGCTGTAACGAGTCTGCCCGTCTATTGTACTCCACAAGAGAAAGAAATGATGCCACCAGAGAGCAAGCCATCTCCAGTCTCGGTATCCCATTCTCTTTGTTATCCCGATCCGTTAGAATACGTTTTTTCCCATCGAGGAATTGTCACATAACCAGCTCAACATTAATTCCACCGCCACAATGGGCATTCTGTTTTGAATAAATCCTTGTAAAATTGGTAAAAACAAAAGCTTCAATTCCAGACACCTTCGGATGACACATCTCCTCTCCAGCTCTGAGCACTGTGAGGGTTACTGTGGAGAGGCTGAATGGGGGATGGAGTAGATCCCTTTGTACAGTCCTGTATCCTATTGGTTCACAGCATCCATCTTTACTATCCAATCACAAAGAGCTAACAGTGACGTTGAGGCTGCTACTCCCCCCTCCCTGGCATTACGTTTTAAAAACATGACATAAAGGTAAGTCAGATTTGTGTGATAATTCTCTTTGTATAGAATAACATTTTTATGGAGCACACGGAAAATAAAAAAAAGGAGGACTTATATTCCAGAACCGAAAATCCACTGGGCATCATATTTTAATTTACTGCTGCTGCCATAACGAATCCTGACTATGGGTGTTATTCAATTAATACTGATAGCTAATTATTAAACTATTCAAATGTTGGTAAAATACGTTGTCAAACATTTCCTTCACTAATATTTAAGACATGTTATAATAGGGGAGTGAGGTCTAATTATAGAATGGAAATTCCTTATGTGCAAACTTTAATTAGATAAAATGTGATAGTTAAAAACTGTTATTCAGTATTCCTCCTTTGGAAAACTGTATTCCAAAAACTGAAATTTCTCGATAACACAACATTTAAAAAATGAATGCACCAGCGTTTTTTAAACGCTTATTGCATCAGGAGTTTAAATGGGGATACTGGCCATTATTAAAAGATAGGCATCATAATTTCATGAATTGAGCCTAATTTTGAATACAATTATTGTTTATTTATGCTATGATCAAATCATACATCTGAAACTGCCAATAGAAACATCTTTAAATTAAGACCAAACACCATACGTCCATACTCAATAATCAACACAGTTTTAACGATTAAAAACTAAATGCATTATGCCAATAATGACTGGAAATGTGTAAAGCAGTTCTGTTGTTTTCTGCTCACCTGCTGGCTCTCAAAGGTCCAGGTGCTGTCGGGTAAAGACGCATCCAGAACACTGATCACCTCCTTAAAGTCAGTGGTGCTGCTGGGTTTAATCAAAGTGAAATCACTGTACTCTGACATCGGAGACATACAGGACCTGAAGGACTGACTCTGAGACAACATGTCTCCTCCCAGGACCTCCACGTATTTTATAGGTCCGTCAGTATTGAGTTGTATCTGCAGGTTTCTGTTGGGGTTCTTGTAATCATCACAGTCGCTCCGTCTCGTGCAGCAACTACCGCTGCTTCTGCTGTTCCTGATGCATTTAACCGCTAAGATGAGAAAAGTCAGCAGAGACAGCACGGACACCGAGGCCAGAGAGAGAATCAGATAAAGGGTGATTCTCCCAGTTTTCTTGCTGGGCTCGGCCGCTTTCTGTCGGAGGTCTAAGATGGGCTCATGGAGGCCGTCCTCCAGCAGGATGGACACCGTGACGGTGGAGGACTGGACCGGTTCCCCGTCGTCCTTGATCTCTATAAGCAGCCTCTGAGAGGAGTCGTCCTGCTCGGACGCAGCGCGTTTAGTCCTCACCTCCCCTGTGTACAGATTGACAGTGAACAGAGAGGCGTCTGTGGCCTCCGCCAGTCTGTAGGAGATCCAGGCGTTATGGCCCGAGTCAGCGTCCACAGCCGTCACCTTTGTGACCAGGTGACCCGCTTTAGCGGAGCGGGGCATCCTCTGGTGAGAGAGGGAGCCCAGGGCAGCGGAGGAGGGGTAAATAACAGCGGGGGCATTGTCGTTCTGGTCCAGGATAAAAACATGGACGGTGGCGTTGCTGCTGAGAGACGGAGAGCCCTGGTCCTTTGCCTGAACCTGAATCTGAAACACCTTCAGTTTCTCATAGTCAAACGAGTGCATGCTGTAGATGCTGCCGTTATCTGAGTTAATGTAAACATAAGATGAGACAGACACGTCCTGCACTTTAGAGTCCAGTATAGAGTAAGAGATTTTGGCGTTTTCACCAAAATCCAGGTCAGATGCTGATACTGAGTACAGTATAGACCCTGGTACCCCGTTCTCTTTTAAATATACATTATAGGAGGGCTGAGTGAAGACAGGAGGGTTGTCATTCACATCAGTGATGCTGACAGGTATAATTTTCTTACTAGAGAGAGGAGGAGAGCCTGAATCAGTGGCTGTTACCTCAATATTATACTCTGAGAAACTTTCTCGGTCTAATAAACCATTCGTAACCAGTGCGTAGTTATTAGAAAATGATGGTTTTAAACTGAAGGGTAAACCCTTTCCGAGTTTTAACGTCACCTTGCCGTTATTACTGGAATCAAGGTCTCGTGCACTGATTAAGGCGACAACTGTGCCTCTTGGTGCATCCTCACGCACCGGGTTTGGTTTTGAAGTGAGAACTATTTCTGGGGAATTGTCATTAATGTCTATCACTACTACTTGCACACGACAGTGGCCCTCCATCTCAGGAACTCCTTTATCTTTTGCAGTAATACGTATTTCATGTACTGCAGTTCTTTCATAATCTAACGGTCCTACTAAGGATATCTCACCTGTACCCGAATCCAACTGAAAAATAGATAACAGCGATAGGGGTGTGTGGTCAGCAAATGCGTATTCAATCTCTCCATTAACACCCTCGTCTGCGTCTGTTGCTTCAACTTTTACAAGTACAGAACCAGCGACACTATTTTCACGTACAGTTACATTATACAACGGCATTTTGAAAACAGGGACATTGTCGTTGTTGTCGAGTACAGTAACTATGATTTTAGTGGTTCCAGTTTTAACAGGATTGCCTCCGTCTAATGCGGTCAGTAATAACTGATGGACACTTTGTTTCTCTCTGTCAAGTGATTTTTCTAGTACTAGTTCTGGAACTTGTCTGTCACCAGATAGCTCTTTCATTTTCAAACTAAAACACTCGTTTTTACTTAGAGTATAAGATTTAACTGAATTACTACCGACGTCCTGATCATGTGCAGTGTCTAAAGGGAAGCGGATGCCTGTGGCAGTAGATTCTGCTATTTTTAAGGATCGTTCCTCTGTTATAAAAATCGGAGAATTGTCGTTCATGTCCCTTATTTCTACTTCTATCCGGTGTAGCTGTAGCGGATTCTCCGTTACAACCTGTAAAGGCAATAAACAGCTGGCGCTTTGTCCGCATAAAGCCTCTCTGTCTATTCTGTCATTCACCACCAGCTCGCCCTTCCCCGCATCCACACTGAAATACTGCTCACCAGCCTCAGAGGCGACACGCAGCTTACGGTCAAAAATCTCAGATAGTCCCAAACCCAGATCTTTGGCTAGATTTCCAACCACAGAGCCCTGTTTTAGTTCCTCCGGGATAGTGTAACGAGTCTGTCCGTCTATTGTACTCCAGAAGAGAAAGAAATAATGCCACCAAAGCGCCTGCCATCTCCAGTCTCGGTATCCCATTCTCTTTGTTATCACCGATCCGTTAGAATACGTTTTTTCCCATCAAGGTGTTCGTCAACACAACCCAGCGTTCAAAGCCATCGCCAGAATGTACACTCCAATTAAAATAAATCCTTAGATAATTGGTAATTAAATATATATTCCGGACGCCTTCATATAAGCGCATCTCCTCTCCAGCTCTGAGCACTGTGAGGGTTACTGTGGAGAGGCTGAATGGGGGATGGAGTAGATCTCTTTGTACCGTCCTGTATCCTATTGGTTCACAGCATCCATTTCTACTATCCAATCACAGAAGGCCAACTCTGCATAAAGCTACTGCACCCCCTCAAGGTTGTTATGCATTTTAATAAAATTAATATTAGGAAACGTCAGATTTGTGTGACAAAAAATGTGCTAAAAATTCAGCTGTAAAAAAAACAAACAAAACATGGATTTTAATTCCAATAGGCCTAGGCCCTACCCCATATGCACTGGTCACCTTATTTTCAAGGATTGCTGACAACTAATGATGACTATAAAATATAATATATATATGTATATAAAAAAATACTTTAATTTTGAAAATATATTTTAAAAATACTACATTTGCAAGTAGGCTACTTAACAATTATTGTATAATGTAAAAGCAACGTCTGATTAAAAATGGAAATATATGTGCATGCTTTCTAAAAAATATATATACATTGTGATCGTTAGAAACGGTTACTCAGAGTTCCTACTTTAGTTAAACATATTTTCAAAAATCTATTTTCTCATGATAGAAGTCAATGTATTCGCTTTTTAAGGGAAATGTTGTTTTTTTAATTTCAGGCTATTCAAGAAATCTAGAAGACAATGATGTCACTAATAAAGGAGTAAAGAAGGCCTGTTGTTTTATGCTGACATGCTGGATGACTGCTTGTGACCATGAAAACACCATGTTATCAAAGGGCAGTAAAGGAAAAATGCGTATACAACCAAATACAATTACAAAGTAGGTCTACTAATTTTTTCTGCTCACCTGCTGGCTCTCAAAGGTCCAGGTGCTGTCGGGTAAAGACGCATCCAGAACACTGATCACCTCCTTAAAGTCAGTGGTGCTGCTGGGTTTAATCAAAGTGAAATCACTGTACTCTGACATCGGAGACATACAGGACCTGAAGGACTGACTCTGAGACAACATGTCTCCTCCCAGGACCTCCACGTACTTTATAGGTCCGTCAGTATTGAGTTGTATCTGCAGGTTTCTGTTGGGGTTCTTGTAATCATCACAGTCGCTCCGTCTCGTGCAGCAACTACCGCTGCTTCTGCTGTTCCTGATGCATTTAACCGCTAAGATGAGAAAAGTCAGCAGAGACAGCACGGACACCGAGGCCAGAGAGAGAATCAGATAAAGGGTGATTCTCCCAGTTTTCTTGCTGGGCTCGGCCGCTTTCTGTCGGAGGTCTAAGATGGGCTCATGGAGGCCGTCCTCCAGCAGGATGGACACCGTGACGGTGGAGGACTGGACCGGTTCCCCGTCGTCCTTGATCTCTATAAGCAGCCTCTGAGAGGAGTCGTCCTGCTCGGACGCAGCGCGTTTAGTCCTCACCTCCCCTGTGTACAGATTGACAGTGAACAGAGAGGCGTCTGTGGCCTCCGCCAGTCTGTAGGAGATCCAGGCGTTATGGCCCGAGTCAGCGTCCACAGCCGTCACCTTTGTGACCAGGTGACCCGCTTTAGCGGAGCGGGGCATCCTCTGGTGAGAGAGGGAGCCCAGGGCAGCGGAGGAGGGGTAAATAACAGCGGGGGCATTGTCGTTCTGGTCCAGGATAAAAACATGGACGGTGGCGTTGCTGCTGAGAGACGGAGAGCCCTGGTCCTTTGCCTGAACCTGAATCTGAAACACCTTCAGTTTCTCATAGTCAAACGAGTGCATGCTGTAGATGCTGCCGTTATCTGAGTTAATGTAAACATAAGATGAGACAGACACGTCCTGCACTTTAGAGTCCAGTATAGAGTAAGAGATTTTGGCGTTTTCACCAAAATCCAGGTCAGATGCTGATACTGAGTACAGTATAGACCCTGGTACCCCGTTCTCTTTTAAATATACATTATAGGAGGGCTGAGTGAAGACAGGAGGGTTGTCATTCACATCAGCGATGCTGACATTTATAGTTTTCTTACTGGACAGAGGAGGAGAGCCTGAATCAGTGGCTGTTATCTCAATATTATACTCTGGGAAACTCTCTCGGTCTAAAGCACCACTGGTAACCAGTGCGTAATTATCTGAAAAAGAGGGTTTTAGATTAAAAGTAGAGCCTTTGGGTAGTTGTAATGTCACTTTTCCGTTATCACCAGAGTCAATGTCTCGGGCACTAATTAAAGCTACTACAGTACCACTTGGTGCGTCCTCAGGCACAGAGTTTGGTTGGGAGGTCAGAAATATATGTGGAGCATTATCGTTAACATCTAACACTTCAACATGGAGGGTGCAATGCCCTTCCATTCTCGGAGTTCCTTTGTCTCTTGCACAAATATCTATTTCATAATTCGCATTTGTTTCGAAATCTAATTTACCTATCAGACGTACTTCTCCGGCTAATGAATCAATATCAAACACAGATAGGACAACGTCTGGTGTGTGCGCTCCAAATGAATACTCTACTTCTCCATTAGGACCTTCATCGGTATCTTTTGCTGTAAGTTTAAGAATAGATGCACCTTGTACGCCATTTTCACTTATAAAAACTTTGTAAATATTTTTCTCAAATACAGGAAAATTATCATTAATATCAAGCACATTTATAGTTATCTGGGAGGTCCCAGATTTCACTGGGTTTCCCCCGTCTATAGCTGTTAGTTGAAGCTGATGTATTGGCTTTTTTTCTCTGTCGAGAGATTTTGACAGTACTAGCTCTGGGACTTTCCTACCACCGGACACATCTTTTATCTTTAAACTAAAAAAGTCGTCTTTACTTAAAGTATATGACCTCACTGAATTCACTCCAACATCAAGATCTTGCGCGGTCTCCAAAGGAAAACGTGCCCCTGCCGCGGTCGATTCGGATATTTCTAATATAATATCTTGAGAAGGGAATGTTGGAGAATTATCATTAATGTCTTGTATTTCCACTTCAACTCGGTGCAGTTGTAACGGTTTATCAATAACCACTTGCAGAGGAACACACAGCTGGCGCTTTGTCCGCATAAAGCCTCTCTGTCTATTCTGTCATTCACCACCAGCTCGCCCTTCCCCGCATCCACACTGAAATACTGCTCACCAGCCTCAGAGGCGACACGCAGCTTACGGTCAAAAATGTCAGATAGTCCCAAACCCAGATCTTTGGCTAGATTTCCAACCACAGAGCCCTTTTTTAGTTCCTCTGGGATGCTGTAACGAGTCTGTCCGTTTATTGTACTCCACAAGAGAAAGAAAGTATGCCACCAAAGCGCCTGCCATCTCCAGTCTCGGTATCCTATTGTCTTTGTCATCCCCGATCCGTTAAAATTATTTCCCATTGAGGTAATCGAAAAGCAGATAGTTACCACCCATTGCAATAAAGCATTAATCCAAAACAAATATCCAAAATCGTTTCATACCAGAAATAGAGATATTTCTTTTTGTAATTCAGATAAGAGCATCACTCCCTCTCATCCAGCTCCTTGCAATGAAAATGTGTACGGTGCTTTAGGCTGAATGGGGGAGGGAGTAGATCTCTTTGTACATTTCTACGTTTCATTGGTGCATAGTATCCATCTCTACCAGCCAATGAGAAGGGGGTGAGCAGTGTTTTTAAAGACACAGCCGTCCCTGAAAGAACCTGTCTCCATGCATTAAGAGTGTGTAAAAAGTCATGATACAGTGTCAGTTGTTACAGATCGCCAATAATCTAAATGCAAATAAACATTAAATCTGATAACAAAATTACAAATACTCTGTGTTCTGGTTATTCACACCTTTGATTAAGCAAACTATTTTTGTGATTTGAATGAGAAAAAAGTGACAGTATTGCTATGCAGTTTGGTCCTGCTATAAGCAAGCCTATTCAAGGTTTCGCTGTCCAACTTTTTGGTGCTGAAACAAAGTACCATTCATGCAACTACTGTATAAAGGGAGCATTCCACACTCCTCATACAGTTCCACGAAACTAGAGCTATCTACAAAATCTGAACTTTGACACAATGTAGGCCTTTGTAGCAGAAACAAATATTAGGCAGGGGGAATTTAAAAAGTAAAAAAGGAAGCAACAGGGTTCCAACATTTAATGGTTTTGATGTGTTGAAAAAGATGACTTGGTGATGAAAATCACAATTTAGTGTTTGGATTATTAAACTGACAATAACGATTGGACGAAATGATAAAATACCATGACAGGATATGTAAACCACATAAGGCAGCAGGAAAAATCAACAGAAAGCCGAAATGTTTAGCGAAGGCTGCTAAAAAAAAAGAAGAAACAAAGAAAAAATGCTTGTTACTGTTTACCCGTACTATACGTTTTAAGCCCCACGAAGACGCCACGTTACAAGATGGCAGTAAGGTATTTAAAATTGAAACAATCTGTATACAACGATATAAAATTACAAAATACGTCTACTATTTTTTTCTGCTCACCTGCTGGCTCTCAAAGGTCCAGGTGCTGTCGGGTAAAGACGCATCCAGGACACTGATCACCTCCTTAAAGTCAGTGGTGCTGCTGGGTTTAATCAAAGTGAAATCACTGTACTCTGACATCGGAGACATACAGGACCTGAAGGACTGACTCTGAGACAACATGTCTCCTCCCAGGACCTCCACGTATTTTATAGGTCCGTCAGTATTGAGTTGTATCTGCAGGTTTCTGTTGGGGTTCTTGTAATCATCACAGTCGCTCCGTCTCGTGCAGCAACTACCGCTGCTTCTGCTGTTCCTGATGCATTTAACCGCTAAGATGAGAAAAGTCAGCAGAGACAGCACGGACACCGAGGCCAGAGAGAGAATCAGATAAAGGGTGATTCTCCCAGTTTTCTTGCTGGGCTCGGCCGCTTTCTGTCGGAGGTCTAAGATGGGCTCATGGAGGCCGTCCTCCAGCAGGATGGACACCGTGACGGTGGAGGACTGGACCGGTTCCCCGTCGTCCTTGATCTCTATAAGCAGCCTCTGAGAGGAGTCGTCCTGCTCGGACGCAGCGCGTTTAGTCCTCACCTCCCCTGTGTACAGATTGACAGTGAACAGAGAGGCGTCTGTGGCCTCCGCCAGTCTGTAGGAGATCCAGGCGTTATGGCCCGAGTCAGCGTCCACAGCCGTCACCTTTG